CGCTTGTAAAAGTTTTTGGCATGCGACAAATATTTCGCACAGACTGATACAAAAGGGTGCAGGGAAGATCTTTAATTTATGTGCAACGACAAGTGCACACTGCACGGTTCGCCGCCAATAACAAGATGAGTTGAGATGCAGTGTGGAGTGTGGAGTGCCATGTGCAACAGCTGCCTGCAGCCAGATTGCATTTAAGCGGAGCCCCCTAGGCGCTGCCAGCTGCGGTAATGAGTCCATTATGGGGCACCTAAAATCCCTAGATGGGGAGCGTTTCATTAAAATTCCTTCCGCTTACTAATTCCACCGCTTTATAGGCGGCTTTACCGTTTGTTTGTGCTCTCATAAAAGTTGCCAAAGTGTCGGATTTTGTTTGTGGCTTGGATCGGGATTTCTTTTTTCATGTTCTGGCCATGCGTCATGCCCGTCATACAGACATATCTTGAGCAAAGAGCAAAGTTTTGGCAGGCCGCGAAAATGAGTCGCCTTTGGAGGGAGGGAGTGTGTGAGTGACTGGTACCCCACCCAGCTCCAACCACGGATCCGCTATCAATGAGTCATGCTCTCCGCTGATATCTGATGAAAGTCCCAACTCCGAATGTCAATGGCCAACAGTTTTGTGTCCTCAGCAAGGTCATAAGTACATCAGCGTAAATGTTTGAGGCTTATGAAAATTAGTCAAACTTGAGTCATTATAATTCTCCCTATAGCTATTTTCCCACAAATGAACCAATTATGGTATATTAGGACATGCAAATTGGCGTTGACTGTCAAAACTAGTAAGCCAGAAAGTCATTTCCATTACAATTTCCATTACCATATCCTGCTCTGGCCTGCAACGTTCAACTGCAGCGCATGAGCTTTCGAATTTCATTTAAAACCAATTATCAAATCATGTCGCTGCCGGCTGACAAACTCATTTATTTAGCTCGATGCACTCAAAACCCAGACATGCCCACATACATCATACTTACACGCGGTCGGGGGCTGCTCCTGCTCCGTGCGCCTCTCACTCTCTCTCTCTCACTTCCTCCCCAAGTGCAGCCTAATTTTGCTTTCGTTTCCACACACATGCAACTGCAACCACATCCGTTTGCTGTCAGCAGAGTGTTAAGTCAGGCGCAAAATGTTCGCTGTTCTCCAGCAAACGGCACAAGGAAAATGTTGGTACGCCGCCCTTTCCCCAAGACTAAGACCGAGACCGAGACCTAGATCCACATACACAAGAGCTGTCAAACTGTCGCCAGGGCCTGAAATTGTCATTACTCAGTGTCTATTGCCTCATTTGCAGGTCGCTCTCCATAAAGGGGGGGACTGGATGGCACTAGGGGACTGGGGCCGGTTTTCCAACTAATTTTAATGTGTGAAAATTAAATTTGGTGTTTTCCAGCCGGGCATCTCACTCTCTATCAATTAGTTTGTCATTCGCAGCCAGCCCCCAGGCCCATGTCATCCATCCCACAGTCACGATTTGCCCACATCAATGCAGCTCAACTCTCTGGTTCTGTTCAAACTTTTGTTGCTGTGGCTTTCTGCATTTCCAATTGGATTTAAATACCCCTTAAATGAGAGGTATGCTTCATTCGAGTCACGCTTCATGCGACTTATATTCCACAGATGAAGAATAAAGGAGCACCACAAATGGTGATGTTGCTGAGATGAGTTGCAAGCTCGAACTGTTTATATTTCAGTTGTTTTTGGGCTCTGTCAGCATGAACAGGTTAAAAAAACAAATATGGTGCTCATTTGGCTAGAAGAACAGATCGTTTCGCTTTATTTCATCCAAATTGGTGAGCATCGATACAATTCCATCGGCAGTCGTTAGTAGCAGCAGCAGTACGGCTTGGACACAATGAACTACAAACTGCTCTCCCTTGGAGTATTTTTATTTGCGATCTTCCTCGTTGGTAGTGTAAGATTCAATGGATCGTAATGTAAATAAGTTATTTACTAATCAGTAGACGGTTTCAGGAGGCACCTTTTATAAAAATGACAAATGCCAAGTGCCAGTCGTACAACAAATCGTGGGTTGAGATTCACTATTGCCGCCTGAAGGCCTACTCCCGGAACAAGACTAGTTTGAATGTGAATTTAACAGTTCTAGAAACGGCAAATAACATCCACCTACGACTCAAATTGATGAAAAGGGCCAATGGGTACAAGCCGTTTCTCTGGGACTACACCGTTGATGCCTGCGAGTTCATGAGGAAACGAAATCAGCCGGTTGCCAAGATATTCTGGAATATGATCAAGGATGTGTCCACAGTGAATCACACCTGTCCTTATGTGGTATGTGTTTAGGCTTATTCTTACGCTTCAGTCTCTGATGAATGGTTCTAAAGGGATTACAGAGTTTAAACGATTTCCACCGGCCTGAAATTCCCGTTCCAATGCCATCTGGGGAATATCTTCTCCTGTTGAATTGGATATTTGATAGAAAGCCGCAGTTTGCAACAAATGTTTACTTCACCCTTGTGGAGGACCCTTAAATGAGGAGTTGAACTTGAATCGATTTTGGATATCGTACGGCCGAATATGAAGGAAATAAACAAACTGCTAGACCGTTTCAATGGATTGCCCATTTTGCTATTAATTACCATACGATAGTGTTTTTTTTCGACATGATCCAACGTGACGCAAGCAAATTAGAAAAATTCTGCACACAGTTTCGCTTAATTTTCTCATTTTATTTCCGCAGCATAAATCGGTAGCTAAAAACAAAAAAAAATCGAAACCATAACATCGGTAGTCGTTGGCAGTATAATTCAGACGAAATTAAGTACAAACTGCTCTTCCTCGAACTATTTTTATTTGCCATCTTCCTCGTTGGTAGTGTAAGATTTAGTAGATTTTATTGATTAGATCTATCGCTGCAGTAACGGGTATCGTATTGTCGAGAGAGTCACTTGCGCTTCTGCAGTCGCCTGCATTCGTTTTCTCTTTTGTTTTTGTCGCCAATTCGTATTTGTGGGCGCTCATAATAAATAAACATAAATCATTGGCAGAGCGGATCTCTTCTCTGGCAAGCGCCACAGAAAAATAAGAGAGAGAATAAGAAAAAAAACACGGCGACATATTAAATTTACATGTTGATTTTGATTTATGTGCAACAAGAGAAATACATACATACACACATACATAAATACATATGTATGCATACGTCTGCATATGAATATATGTATGTAGATATTGCCGCCTTTGCATCGGCCTTGCCTTGCCTTTCCTTGCCTTGCCTTGGCGTCTGGTAGAGCCGCCGCTAACTCAATTGAAATCTCGCTGCTTCTGCTGTTGCAGTGGTTGTCGCTGTCAATGAGCGTGTACTTGTTGTTGTTTTTGTTGCAACTTGCAACTCAATCTGTTGGCTGCGCCAGCTCTGCGGTTCCTGTCGTTTCCAATTAAGCCTAGGCGCATGGAAGTGGTGTGGTGCGGCTTTGGATTGATTTACAAGTGAAAGAAAGTTTGTGCTCAAGTATTTAATATGCCTTCACATAATGAATTTTATAAGTTTATTGGTTAGCAATAATTTTTTAGGTATTTCGCTTCCAGAAGGCCGTAAATGTAGAGACCAATTTATTTAGTTTAAACATTTAAAAAAATGTAACTCGAAGCACATAATAAATCTCATTTATCACAATTTTAATTCGAGTTTCACGTCAGCGCAACAAACTTCCTCACACGCCACCCTCCCCCCCATCGACCATTCCACGGGGCTGGCGGTTTGTGGGCGTTTTAAGCCGCACGGAAGTTGCTCCTTCTGTCGTCTCAAACTAACGAAACAAATCCAGAGAGAGAGAGAGAGAGAGAGAGAGAGAGACAGACAGAGACTGACAAGCGAACTGGTATTAATTAAAACTGAAAATTTGCAGTTTCGTTTTGGCAGGGAAATATCCTATTCACCCTTCTTCATGGGGTCTCCGCCGTCTCCCTCTGCTGCCGAGAGTCATTTCGAAAAACCTGCAATTAGCAAGACAAACCAACGAAAATCTCTGGTCTGGCACTTGGGTAATGTAATTTGATAAGTCCACGAGAAACTTGACCCACTTCCAGGATGAATGCTAATGAAGTCCATTCCCTTCGAATCGCCGGGAGGGAATTTTATTTTATTTTACTCCTACATCCCCCCGTTCATTCTCTTGGGGTTCCGCTGATTGCCCCACCATATCGTTTATTTTTATGGCCTTTTCCTTTAAGCGGCTGGCATTTAAAGTGAAATTTATCATTTCACTGCCACACCTCCAGTCCCCTCACACCTACCCATAGTCATCGCATCCTCAATTTGTCGACTCAGTTATGATATTTTATTGCTTTAAAGTTTAACATTTCGGTGAGTGAAATTATAATTTCTTCACATTAATTTGAGATATTTTGATGGGGATGGAGCGGGGGGGGAATAATCTATAATGAAAACAAACCGTCTGGTGTGTGGCTAGCAAGGAAATGTGATTAATCCCTAATTCAACAGCATTTGCTTATGAAAAAGTTCCTTACAGATCAAAGCCAAACAACTTTAAAATTTAAAAGTTAACAAATAAAAGCAATTATGAAACATGTTAAGCTTAACAGCTGAAAACTGTCACATTTTGAATTTACTCTCTGTTAACACATTTCTGGTATTTTTAGCATACTTCTAGAATATAGATTATGGTATATTTTAAAAATGCGAACGTGTATTGTTTAGAGAATATTTCTGGGGTATTTCTGTGCTCATATTTGAGACGCAAAAATGAGTCCCGCGCGATTATTTTGACAATTTTCACCGGTTCAAACATTTAAATTTGTGTTTAAACGTATGTTAATTAATTCACTAGTCGGCTAAAATGATAAGTTTTGTGATTAGAGTCACAACTAGCTTGTAATATTAAATGGAATATCAAAATTGAGGAATATGATTTTCATCGGTATATTTATGGAATATTTTATTAGTAAGATGTTATATTTTGGTATATTTTTGAAGGCCTTGCAGTATATTTTACCGATAAGTCAGCAGTCACACTAAATGTATGGTCACACTAAACATATTGCGCGAGCCCGTAAACAACGCCTCCGTGTCGAATTTTTTTGTGATTTTCGAAGTTTTCGTCGATTTTGCCACAAAATGATAATGAGTAAACAGCGGGAGTGGTAATTATAAAATAAATTAATCGAAACTGTTAGCCATGAGTTCGGAAGTACGGCAAATTTAATACAGAAAAGCGCGAAAAATGTAATTGGAAAACTGCAGCTGCAATTGGCGACGCGCTCTTCAAGTGCTGGTTGGAGCGAGACAACGCTACTCTTTCTGTGTGTGTTGCGTGCAATTTGTTGATGTAGTATTTGGTGTTGTTGTGCAGAAATGCGGGGGAACAACAAAAATAACTGAAATTTGTTGTTGCGTGATGCAAAAACGCCGGCAAAACAAACGTAAAACACAAATTTGATTGAGGAAAAGAAAGAAAATAAACGCTAGTAAAGCGAAAGAATCGCCAAAGAATACACAACAAAAGTGGAGTGAGTTGTGCGTGTGTGCTCCTGTGAGTGTTCTTCTGTGTGTGTGTGGCGATTGAAGGAGAAGAGAAGTTAGAAGAGAATCAAATAAAGCCCCAAGTAAGGCCAGAAAAATGCATCGACAGCGAAACGCCGCCGGATCGTAAACGAAGTTCCCTGGCTGTCAAATTACCGCGAAAAAGTAACTCTCACGTCAAAGCACCAGTCGAAACTCTACCCTTAAAATGCGCCACACGACGATATCAATGTGGCTTCTGGATATATGCCTGATCCAGCTGCAGCTGTTGCAACCTTCAATTGGCAGTCAAGGTAGGAAAATGTCACATGTTTTTTTTCTATTACCACAAGTATTACTCGTACCCCAGTCCATGCACTCTTTATAGAGGTGACGGAAAGTCTGGCCGACGTGCCCGAAACCATGTATTGATGTGGAAAAAACTACTCATAGTTCGATGGGTTGTGTCAGCAACCTGATAAGACTCCGCAATATTTATTTTTTTCGCACTCACCCAGTTGACGCATGTAGGTATTATGTTCATGGGAGTAAACATATGGCCATGTGAGCTAGTTGGCCAGGCCCAGATCGAGCCACACGCGGAACAGCCTTTGGAAATCATTTGGGTAATTTACCATAATTGCTCTTCGATAGATAAGGCCCACCAACAAGAGGGCCTGGCAGTCAGGCAGTTATCTGCTCGACAGTTCTTGAATTTCAAACATTCCTAATGAGCTTCTCTTGAAAGCGATAAACTGCCTTGACACTTCACTACAAGAATTGCCAAGCCTCGACATAAAAAAATAAAATAATTATCAAATGTTGGCGTTGGCACTGCACTTCAAGAAACATGAAACGGGATGCTTGCTGGCATACCTAATTGCTATGTAACAAACATAAGCAGAAGGCTATCAAATTAACATATCAGAGCAGTCAGCTTGGATGGTTTCATGGTAATCCAACAGCAGAAGCGTATTGCATTGCATTTTGCATAAGAATGGAATAGCGGGCATTCGATTTTACTTAAAAGAAAGGCCCAGAAGTACCACAGCTGCAGTATTTTACGACGATTTTTCGAATTTGGTAGTTGCACTTATAATTTAACGTGTTTATAAAGTGGCTGAAAACCCACCTGCAATAAAATAGATTGACAGACAGGCAGATCTAGGAAATATACTGTAAAAAGGTTATATTAGAGCAATAAAAAATGAAAACTAATCGGTTTGCTGCTGCTAAAAGTTCGAGTAAAAAGTAGTTTAAATTTTAGATTAGAGAACACACAAAATGGAGTATTTACCACAAACTCCAAACAGGCAAGAGAAGTCATTATCATTAGCCAAAGAGTGGAATAGTTCCCCCGGACCAACAAGTGTCTGGGCCCAGGCCTAGGTACAGGAGCAGGTACAGGTAAACGAAAAATCAATTAGAATTAGGACCTGCACACAGTTTCAGGCCAGATATAGGGTCCAGGCAGGGATTATAAAAGCAGAACTCATTGGCAGCTGCACAATGCACAACTTAGTGATTGAAGAAAGGTTGTGCTCTGGCTTAGGGGCTTATCATCATATTTCAAATTTCTTTTATGAATTTTATGCATTTCAGTTGGGTGAAGAGCAAACAAAACGGTAATAAGGGAGGGAAACGGGAAATCCCCACAAAATGCGCAAATAATGCAAACAAATTTTATGTTCTTTTGCTTACCACCGACCTCCTGTGAAGCCCGAAAAAAAGCCACCCCTAAAGCCGAAGCTTGACTGTTTAGAAGAGGGGGAGCAGAGCAGCACTCTCTTATCAGGACTGGCATTTATCAATGCCAGAAGCTCCAAGGGAGCCCCAGGAACCCACCAAAATTAGATGGTGGGGCATGTCCCATGAAAATGTCAGGGAAACGAAATAAAAAAACAGGAATCTTTGAACCAATTTGGGTCATGTCATGTCATAAGTCGAGACCCTTTCCCCTAGATTTAATTAAAAGCTTTTCCACCCAAGTTTATTCGGTCGCGCGGTAATTAAAAATTATTCACATATGCACACTTTCACATGGGTGTGTGAGCCAGCAGGACATACAAAAAAGAGTGAGTACAGGTGACACAATGCCACAAAAATGATCAGAAAACTCGACTGGGAGTTACTCTCTGAATGGAGTTGCTTCCCGAACTGAATAACACTAGTATATGTATGTAAGAGTCGGAAACATTTTTTATCTCAAGAATCTCAGCATACCCGGGAGCTATAACTACGCGCGGAATCTATGAGCTCACGTGCTGAGGTCCTGCTCCCATTTCTTATGCTTTATTTTCACTTCTCAGGTCATATTTCGTTCGCTTTTGGTCTTCTTTGGAATGTGGGAACAACTGTGGCAATTGTTTCGTGTCCTGCCGTGGCTTTTACTCCGCATTACGTGACACAATATATGAACAAGAGCATGAGCGACATGTTATTCTAATTTCGCACCCCTTTGTCATTTCCCATGTTCTCCCAGTTCGCTTTTCTTATTCCTCCGAGGGTGCGCTTGTCAAAATAAACATTTCCATATGGCCGTGGCTCTAGCCCCCGGGCCCAGGGGCGATGTGTCGCAATGTGCCACAAAGGGAGGGCCAGAGAGCAAGAGTGCTTTGAGGGACGGTACTCGAAATGAGGTCACTCTTCTTCACTGTTGAATGCAGACTAATTACGGTCCGAAGCAAAGTCTTTCAATTATGAGCTGAGCTGTGTGGGAATAAGACAGGGCACAGGGCACAGGAATAAAGACATAGGGAGGGAAAGGCATTAGCAGGAACTGGAACGGAGCGCAGAAGTGTTGACAGTGCAAGCGGAAATGGTTCGTCCCTTGGGTTGTGTTCCCTGTTGATCTGATCTGATCGCCACGGAAACATGAACAACATGCTAATGCAATCCAAAAGGATTTCGAATACTTTCGAAATGTCTCACTCTGACTGGCACTTGTCGATGGATGCATTCGTCATCCGTTTCCTCTCTCAGATGTACAAAAATATGAACATAAGACCAGGCCTTGCCTTGAGTTCTTTCAAGGCTGGTCAACACAATGGAAACTTTTGTGCCGCAAAAGTTCTACAAACAAAAGTTGGGTCTTGTTAGTCCAGCCATCTGTACTGTTGGTGTGTGTTCTGTTTGGTTTTAATTGCAATCAATTCTGTTTTATTTTAATTTATTTTGCAAAGAACCAGCCACAGAAACAGAAACTGAGAGAACCATGTTTGTATTTTTGGGCAAGTCATGTTGCGGGAATTTGCGGAGCAGTGGTATGGGAAATGCAGGAACCAACAAAATAAAAGAAAAGAGAACATCAGAAGAACAGTAAAAACTCCCGCAAGCTCTCACCCCACCCCTTCGAGTGTCATCTCTCTCCCACCTCTTTTGGATGCGTGCGTTGCTGGTGATGCTGCCTGCTGACTGCTGCTGCTGCGGTGCTGGCAGCATGCAATTTCGAATTTCGTTCGAAGCCTCTTCCTTCTGCCAATTCGACATGACAACATGAATAATTCACTTGAACCCGCCACAACTGCCACTGCCGCAAGAAAAAAACAACAGCAAGCAGGCCAAAACTGAGGCTGCAAGCCCAAAAAGCCTCAAAGTTCAACAAACTTCAAGGAGAGCGAAAAGCGAAAAGGCCAAAAGAGAGCCAGGTGATCTTACTAAAGCAAAGGAGGAAGAGAGCCAGTCAGAGGAAATACTCAAGCTGTAGTTTTAGAGAGAGGGGCGTCTTGTGATCCTTAGGAATGCCTCACCCAACATTAATACACCTTGCAAAAGCCAAAGCAGAGCTGAGACCGGGTCCTTGTTCTCAAGGAATTGCAGAAAAGAAGGAAGTCTGGAAGTTCTGGAAATATCCAGAAATACGTTTAAACTTGCATTCTACTCTTTTGTGGGGGCGTAGTGCATGCGTGTGTGTGGGTGTGTGTGTATATGCGTGGGTGTGATCTACTTGAGGTTTAACAGGCGAAACGAAGGACTCTGGACGTTGTTAACCCCCATGCACCATTTCAATGAAGTAGTCCCAGTTCCAAACCGACTCTACCTCTCGCTATCTGTACTTTATTTACCCGTTGTAGCTCTTCTGTTATTGGATAGTGCTTTAGTGGCTCAAAGTTCCGTTAAAACATGCCAATGCAATGTTTCCTTCCCTGTCCTCCTGTTCCCACTCCAGTTCGTAAATATCACACCTCTTAGGGGCCGGGGCCGGACCCACAGCCGTAGCTCCGGCTCTTCCAGCTCCTCTGTCGTCAGACTGGAGCTATAAAATATCAGAAATTATCTGCCTCCACGCCTCGAATCGCACTTAATCACCTCTCGCACTGTCAGGGAGTGGGCAATGAGAGTGCCAAACAGCGAGAGAGGCAAGCACATAGGGGAGAGACAGAGAGAGAGAGTGAAACGGAAGTCGGCAACAGTTTTTTAAATGCAGTCATTTAGTTAAAGTGCCAGCCAGGAGGCTCTATGCATGAAGATCTTAGCTGTGCCACCAGTGCCACGCCTTTGCTGGAAAAAAGAACTCAATTACAAAACAAGCAACGAAAATTCCCCAGGAAAACGAGCTTCATAATTATTTTGAGCCCAGTGGAGCAAGCGATAAGCCAACGTCGGGTCCCGGGTGCTCCTCAGCGCCTCCTCTCAAGGCGCGAGACAAGAGACAACAAGGCAACAAAGTAAACAAAAGTTTTTGCATTATTGTACTACCTGGTACTAGAGGTACTTGGGGTATGATGGGTTTATGTTTACTTATCAGTTTCGATTGAATTCTTAACTGGTTAAGGGATACCAGCTAGTCGAAACTTCCACTATAACTATCTTTAACTCTTTCGTTTAGTTATTCTCGCAGCTGTTTTCGCAGCTAAGTTGCTCTTCGGGTTTCATGTTACCCCGTGTGCCCATGGGCTACATTAATTGAAAAAATGTCGCTCGTTTAACTTTGGTTAGCAAGCAAATGAAGTTGGTCTTGGCTTTGGCCAGGCCTGTGTACTAATAGAAGCAGTTCCCAACTCCACTGGACACTGGACTCCCCATCCAAACTCAAGTCCCCAACGTGCCATTGCCCGCGGTCCCCTTCCATTATGTTGGGGCTTATCGGTCAACAAAATGCTGGGCAGTGTGCCCGAGATAAACTGCGGCCATGACTGCCTTAAAGTAGATCGATCGTTTGATTGGCGACGGAAAAGCGACCGCCCGTCCCCTTCCCCTCCCCTCATCCACTTACATATCTTCGGAGCTAATCTAGCCTCAGCCTGCAATTGCCACAGAAAAAATAGAACATGAAAAACGAGCCAAGCTTCGACCAGACCAGCCACTGCCTGAT